TAATAACTTTAATCTCTTTTGTAAATCACACGCAACATATTTTTCTCTATAGATCATAGATGAGCTGTGCTCTGATTGATTGGTTTACAACGAGCCAAGCTGCTGAGCAAAGACGCATCATAGCAACAAGCACTCACTCACTGAAACATCAGATTGTTGATATGGTAGGGGGACCAGACGGCCTCTTTTTCATACCTAAAGAAATGTCCGGGATTTTGGTCGCCTACAGCTCAGCAGAACCGAGCCGTCAGCTCCAGGGCTGGTCAGGGAACCCCGGCAGACGGGGGCAGGGAGCCAGCGGGGGAAGGAGCGACCGATCCCGACCCGGTGACCGGACACCAGCGGCCCCGAAGCATACCGTCACCGGGTCGGGTTCGGTCGCTCCTTCCCCCGCTGGCTCCCTGCCCCCGTCTGCCAGGGTTCCCTGACCAGCGAACTCACGGCTCGGTTCGAATGCTCCAGTCAGCGGCCCCCCCTTTTCAGAAACCCAAACCTGGTCACCATAGATATGCTAGCATTGCTATCAACAGCTTAGCGACAGAATCATCCTTCCAGCCTGCGGTTGTGACGGCCTCACGGTGGGAACAGCCCCTCCCTCGATTCAGTAAAAGGAGTTTAGCAAATCCTGCTTTGAACTTTCCAACATTTTGAAAGCTGTATTCAGTAAAATGATGCTGAGCATCAAACTCTGCAAGGATCCTCTGATAGACAGAAATAATCCATGCCTGTCGAGTCTTTGGATCCTTGGGAAGACTGAAAATGTTCCCCTTCCTCCATGCAGCCTGGAACGCTGCCTTTCCTCCCGTGGTTCTGCCTCATTATAGAGAAACTTCCTGCTTTGTGATTCTTCTAGAAGTAAATTCAACTTTAGGCTAAACAGCTAAACTGTCTTCCATTGACCTCTATTCATGTTCTGGGCCTGTGTTATATTACTTATACACATATAAATATATATATAAAATAGTATTATATAACACGCCCGTGAACCAGTGGTCTGGATCTACATTTCAGGGCGGGATAAAAGTCCAGGCCAAACCAAATAAGGCAACATCAATGAGTTTACATCAACTCGATGCTTCTCAGCCGAGGATCAGTTTCCTGGAAACAGAAGTTTAGATGTTGATGATATCAGCTCATAATGTGAAGCTAAACTTGTGCTAATTAATACCTGAAGTGGAATAAAAACAACCCAGATCCTAACGAACCAGGCCGATCCTGGACCGGCTCCTGGCCCTGATCCTGGACCGGCTCCTGGCCCGGCCCCTGGCCCTGATCCTGGACCGGTTCCTGCCCCAGCTTCTGGACCAGATCCTGCTCTGCTCCACTTCAGACTGCGTGCTCCAGAGGATCCTAACAATGAATCCAGATTCTGGTTCTTTATCGGTTCTGATCCGTTTTATTCCGAGCTGCTGGTGTTTAACAGCAGAACTTAATGACCAAACCAGGGACCCGTGAACCTTAACAGAACCAGGGACCCCTGACCCACAACAGAACCAGGGACCCCTGACCCACAACAAAACCAGGGACCTGGCTTCTGGACCGGATCCTGCTCTGCTCTAGTTCAGACTGCGTGCTCCAGAGGATCCTAACAATGAATCCAGATTCTGGTTCTTTATCGGTTCTGATCCGTTTTATTCCGAGCTTCTGGTGTTTAACAGCAGAACTTAATGAC